CGAACTTTCTTTATGATTGTTTTGATTGAAGGGCCTTCTTGCTACACTTTTAACTTGTTTTATTTGTTTTTCCTTGATACATTCGTAGATTTCTCCTTTAGATCAGAGTAAGATGTTACGCCGTACAACATAATCTTATTTATCTCGTCGTCTATAATTCCATCTATCATGTATTTTATTGCCACATAATCAGGCATTTTTCCTCGTTTTCCTAATTCCTTCATTATCAGCATATAGTCTATGCAGCTCTCGTTATGTTTTTTCTTTCTGGCACTCATCATTTCATGTATAGACTTTATATCCACAGAGTCCGGAAATTCTCTGGTGATAGCTACTTTCAATTCTTCCCATGTTTATTTTAAAAGGTTTCTCAGCCTTTAGCCATAATAATGCCGTACCTGTAAGCGATCTTCGCGCCACAAGTAATTGTTGCACAACAGACCAACCAAATATTTCAGCATTATCTTCCACATCTTGTATCCATCTCGTAATGGAGTAAGTTTTGTCCTGCCCGTTAAACGTAGGCACAAGCTCCGCCGTCATTTGTAACATTTGTCCGTGCTCTCGCCGTCCGCCATCTTGTCCATGTTCGTACACGTAATCCTCTTGGCGACTTTTACGTCTTTCTTGCAGATCCTTCGGCATGGTGATAGCAGTTGCTTTCGTTTATCGTCGTCGTCGTCGTCTTCTTATACGTCGTCAAAATATTACAGACCACTAATTTGATGCCTTAGAATTCGCCGCCACGTGCCGCGTATTTGTCGTTCGCCTGAGATACACCGAATATGCTCGTTCTTCAATCGCGGACGAGTCCCCAAAATTGTGGGGGGCTAAATGAAGGTCGTTTCGCTAGGGAATCTCCTTTATTTCAAGGATTAACAAATTTTACTTTAAGAGCTCAAGCGTCGTTCCTACTGTATATTGCCCTTTTTTTCCATCTCTTTTCGTCGTTCGATCCGTTTCATGCATCACTTATTCATTCATCCCACATACATACACATAATAGTGTGTTGCTTTATTTAATGGTTTCAATGTTGTTTTTTTGTGTATAGTCGAATAACCACTTTAGATTATCACTGCCACAAGGGAATTGAAAATTTTTGTCTCTATATTTCAATCAAGCCTTCATTTAATTATTATTTATTCCAGTATTGTAAAGATCAATGGTCCCAATGGGATTCCGTCTTTTTAGAAGAACAATTCACATGACAATCTATTGTTCAGGTATGTGTCTTTAAATATTACAGGGAGTCATTGAAGTCCCCTGCAAAATTATTTCATTTATACTACAGTAGACTACAAACTAGTTAACAAATTTCAGTAATTTTGAAGCGAGTGCTTCAAAATTACTGAAATTTGTTAACTAATTTAAATGTTCAGTTCAAACAGATCATCATTGTTTTTCAAAACAATACCTTTATGTAAAGATAAATATAAATGTTTTCTTTTTTGTCAGTTTCGGCAGAAGCTTTGGAACATTTAGCTAATAATACATATAAACAAAGCATTACACATAAGCTGTTCGTATCTTAAAAGATGATCGATTTAAGTGGTCTATACATACATTTCTTGCATTTGGAAACTTTATCAAGTTCAAACAATCAGCCAGATATATATTTTACACGTTTAATGGTACGCTTAGTTGGTAGCTTTTTAAGCGGTGCTAATAAAATAAATTATTGCAAATGCAAAACATCGCTTTAAGTAAAAAAAATTATATATATAAAAGATATTTATATTTTATATTCATTCATATTAAAAGTTGTATCTAAAATAAAGTAAAAAAAAAGTAAAGTAACAGCCTATACATGTCCCACTGCTGGGCAAAGGCCTCCTCTATACAGAAGGTATATCGGGACATAGTCCACCACGCGGCCCCACTGCGGATTGGCGGACTTCACATATCTTCGAAATATATTTTTTTTGTTATTATTTCGAAAATATGCAGGTTTCCTCACGATGTTTTCCTTCACCGCGGAGCACGTGATAAGACAGCACTTAAAGTTAAAAACTTCATTGGTGCCGGCACCGGGGATCGAGTAAGGTTGCTCGAGTATTTTGAATTAAAGGCGAGCGCCCGGACACTGAGCTATCACGGCTATCTATCTAAAATAATTAATATAAATGAATATGTACGGCTATATAAGCCGAAGGGATGCACCCGCCATATTATTCTAGTAAAGCGAACATATTATGCAAAAGAAGTTTCATATTCTATTACTGTGCGATGAAAAAGAAAAAATCAATAACGTGTAACGTTATGTGAGTACGTGATCAATAACGCAACGTATAACGAAATTCAATCGCGGATCATTAGTTTAAAACGCAAATTGTGTAAACTTCGCTTTTGAGAAGCACTTAGTAGTTTACTACTACAGCTTGAAAGTTATCCAATCAAGTATAGATTTTCGCAGAAGGAATAAATCCTATTACAACAATAATTCTTAACCCAAACTGACATCTCTCAATGTATTGTGGTGTTGCAAAGGTTTTAAATTTATTTCTATGTACCTACTGTGATACCTAATCTTTTGAAGTACTGAATCGATGAAATATTTTTTATGATAAATCTGCAAGTAATTAAGTGTTGCTTTTTTGTTTCTCTTCTTAAAAACATTGCCCCCAACTTTAGGACAAAATTATCCTATGCTGTAAGTATGTTTTACAATTATATATTTCACGCGGATAAACACCCAGATGCGAAACAATTATTTATCTATGCATCACACAAATAGTTGTCCCGTGTGAACGTATCCATATTCGTACCCACGACCCCCGACGCCGAAGCCACAGAGTCATATAAATTATCGTTTTTTTACAGAAATCTGAACATCTGTAGATCGAGCTGAAATTAAAGGTTTAAACATTTGAGCATAGTTTTGGAACCTCATAACTGTCGTTTTATCAAAAAAAATTGCAATTACTAAATATTGAATGTTTATAATGCACACAAAAACTTAATTATTTACAGTATGTTCAAATGTTCAAAGATTAAAAAGATGTCTAACACAACAACTCGTAGGTAACTTACCCTATGGAAAATTTTTCGTAGCTTAGGAAACGCGTGTAAAACGAGGGCAAGACAAGTAGTTCATATACAATTTCGAACTGCTGATGAATTTAACACTTGACACTTCCAAATAAGCGTGTGTGAAAAGTTGGTTCGGACAAGTAGAATTATTCCAACCTCTGATCACTCTGAATATATGAGTGCAAACCTGCTTTTATAATTAATTTAATTATTTAAGAAAGGATTTTTTATTCGCGTGTCTCAATTCGTTGTCAAAAATTTTGATCAAAGCGACGACGTGATCGTATAAGGCAGTACCTAAGAGCAATTCTTCGTGTTTCCGAGCTTACTTTTGTAAGTAGCATCTTGTTTATTATTACAATAGAAACATTTAATCCAATTGTTAATGATGTCAATTTTAAAGATGTTTTGTTCAGAAGGACTTGGGTGCTCAAAATCGAATGGTTAAAAATTAAACAGCTATTTATTACGAGTATCCGTAATATAACTGCTGCTAAAACTATAATTCGCTCACGTGACGGTGTAATAATGTTATAAACTATGTAAGAAAAACGTTAAAATTAAATTATCTTGGAAACAGTTATTTGAACTTACTTAAATAAATGTTTAGATTTTCGGTGTTGTGTATATAGGTTTTGTATATAATAATCAAACTCACCGTTTGGGAGAGACTTTTGATGGATAAACCATGATGATATCATCGATATTCATGTTATTAGATAGATTTCAATAGAGTATAAATTGTAAGTTTTATCTAGGTAATAACACTGAAGTCATGTCCTGCGATTTTGTTAATTGCATGTCATAGAGCAGTGTTTGGATTAGTAATTGATTAACCGCCGTTGGTTGTCTCGTGTAGCGGCAAACTCAAGCCCGAGGCGACTGGGCGACCTCGTTGGTCTAACGCACACTTCTAGTTTTCGCGCGCGTCTACTGTCCAACATAATACTTTAATTTAAAAAAAAACGTGTGTACTTATGTACGCGCGTAAGAAGTTATACTTCTTTATCGCATTAAAAAGAAATTTTAAGCTCTGTGTCTCTCTTTGATTGTGAAAAAGACGTTGAATGTCATTGATAACGGTTTATTTAAATAACTTGGAATAACAGGAAAATGTCAAAAAGTTGTTATTGGTTGCCATGGTAATATCGTGACGTTTGCCGAAGTTTGCAACCAACTTCATCATGTTGCTTTTTGGCTGTCCGTGTGCCCGCACATCCTAATACGTTTAATCCCATAATTTTTTTCAATACGCGCCAAAACAAGTACAACTTTAAAAATAGAATTTTATCATCCACTAACATTACCACTGCTTTTATAAATGGAACGATTCTGATGAAATAACTAGAGGAAGACGCTCAAATCATCAACTTAGACAGCTCTTTGAACAGCTATGCGCTCATTTTGCCGCTATTTATACTATAAATTTTATATTCTAATATATTCCTTACATATATTATAAATTTTATAAAGCTTTATTTATTTTTATATTATAAATTTTATAAATCTTTATTTGTACTGACTATCATTTATCGAAAAGAAAGTTTGGGTTTGAATTCATATCATTTGCACTTACAGACGACAGTTAGAGCATAACTTTAGTGTTAAATTCGTCGATCAAATGACGTCTAATTAACAAGTCCTTAAGGCTGTAAAGCGCAAATAAAAAACAATAATCACAGCTAAATACTATCTCGTATCTTTTACTGCGTTGCAAGATAAATCAGTTTGCTTGCTTACGTTGGCAAAGTCACTATATCTGCGTCTGTTATTTCATCGTCTGTTACGTCGTTCATTGTAACGTTATCGACATTTTCCTAACGAATGTGATACAATCGTCAAAGGCCAATAAGACAGCTTTATATTAAATAAGATTGCAAAGACAACCGCTTAGTTTCAAAGAAGCGAACATTAAAATTATAAGATCCGTACTAACGACTGACACTAATGAATGAATAATGATGAATAAATGCACCAACGGCTTGGTATGTCACTCTGCTCCGAGTATAAGTCGTTTTGTGCTAATGTAAAACGAGTACTGCAGTTTGTTTTTTGCGTAATAGCAACATTTTTTATTATTTCTTTTTATATATATATTTATTCTATATATATAAAATAATACAAATGTATTATTTCTCGCGCTTTGTACAATATAAAGTAGAAATAAAAGCATTAAAATGTACATACGAGATTAAAGGACGTTACGCTCCTACTAAACACCGATTAGCTTTCATGATTTTAGGATTTATATCGTCAAAAATGTCAGTCTCGCGTTTATCTTGTGTTTGTGTCTACGACGACGCCTTTGTCATTACGTCAATAGATAACATTGACCGTCTCTATTTACCCTGTTAAGTTTAAAACGTCGTGAATTGCTCTACTTGCGTGTTTTCCTTACAATACTGGTGAATTTCACCATCGTACAACTCGTGAAACCGCCAAGTACCATCGACACCGCCTTGATGGTTGGGGGTCCACCACTGTGTGTTTTTCACGAAATTTTCTACCCCGCACAACTACTATGTGGAACGAGTTGTCGGCAGTAGTATTTCCGGACCGATACCACTTAGGGACCTTAAGAAAAGAGCCTACTCCTACCTTAAAGGCGCCGGCAACGCAATTGCGACACAACCGATGTTGTAAACGTCCATGGGCGGCGGTGATCCCTTATCAACAGACGACCCGCATGCTCATTTGCCTCCTTTTCACAAAATAATTTCAAAAATAAAAATGTAGGCGAGTTGGCAGCTACGTTTTAATTTTCACAGCCTCATTAACATCATAAATTATATAAATGTATAACTGAGCTGTACCAAAAAAAACTCCAATACCGGTTTTGATTCAAAAACGTCAAAACTTATCAATGTTATGATTAATGTTTTTATGACTGTTGCTTCTCAGTACTTGAAAGTGTATATCCATAAAAATAAGAATACATTTTCAAGACACAGTGGTTTAAATATTAGGCGCAACCATACATTATTTTAATCCTCAATTAGATTGCGTAGAATAAGTAAATCTTTTATGGGACAATGTTTACGTTTTTACAACCAAATCGCAGAAAACGTTCAAAATGAATCAGTTGCTTATTAAAAAAAATAATGTAAAGGAACGTTTGTGTGTAAAAGGTTATTATAATATTAGTTAAGGTTATTATAATATTAACTAGCTGACCCGGCAAACGTCTTGCCATATAAATTCTTTGTAGGGTAGAAAAAATGTTTGAGGTGGACCACCCATAACATTAAGGGGGATGAAAAATAGATGTTATCCGATTCTCCACCCTGGCCGATATGCACACAAAATTTCACGAAAATCGGTCGAGCCATTTCGGAGGAGTTCAATTACAAACACCGTGACACGAGAATTTTATTTATTAGATATTATAATATTAGTGATTATTTAAATGATAACAATCTCAGGAAATGAATTGATCTTTCCAAGCTCTTTCAAGTGGCCCTAAATAGATTGTAAACATGTTTTTCTTATTGTCAAATTATGAAAAATATATTGCCCGCTGAGTTTCTTTCGCTGGTTTTTGTCAGGTCAGTGGCATTTTTCAAACCAGTAGTTGTATTTTGACAATCAATAAGTAAGTGTAGTGCCTCCATATCGAAAGATATTTGAACTCGAATACGAAATTTGAATAATAAAAAACAAAACTGTGAATTTCGTTCATTAATTATATGGGTTTTCGATATTATAATTATCTCAGAAAGCGATGATTAAATAACAAAAGGAAATTTCTTTAACGTAAATAAACACATGAACGAACGAATTTGAATAAAAAATATTAAACCGAATATTTATTGTTGAGTTCAGAATCCTCTTCTTCCAACTATAAAAGCCAACGGAATGTGCGGTATAAGCATTTTGACTGTACTATTACAAATATTACAAATAAGCCAACCTACTGGATCCTTCCAAATACATAACTGTTCTATATTTGTACGCAGGTAGTTCGAGTGGCTCGCCAGGCACTCGAGCGGGGCGCCGCTCATCGCTCGCCCTCACCCCCGAAGACGAGCCCTTAGTTGACGTCGCTGTAAGTGGATCCTAATTCTATATATATTTTATATTATTATATTATAAACCGCTAACACTAACGTAAGCAAAGGCATCGCTTGCGTAGTTCATTGTTCAAAGAGAGCAGCAAATTACTAAACGCACCATTGGGAAACGTCGTCTGTGTCAATTTTACGACCCGGTCGAGGAAGGGGACTAGAGTAATTAAAACTATATTGTAGCTCGGTCTTGAAGAGAAGGACGGCGTAACCAACATACCACGTGTTCCGAGCTGGTTCTCATCTCCAGCTAACGAATACCACATTTGACGATAAGCCACCGTCCGCATATCGGACCTTGACGATCCGTTGGTGACTCTCCCCTAATTTCATTAATGCACGCACGTCCACGTATGTGACTAAGTTTTACCTGTCGATCAATGTCATGAAAAATTAACTTCATGCCTGTGCCCGAATAATCTTTGCATATGGTCTGAAAGTGCATAGTCAACACCATTCGCCTGTACTTTTACCACCAAGGTAAAGTCGTCACAACTGCGGTCGCTACGGTTTTCACTACCGGCCACCAGCGCGACTTCAAACCTTCTTGGGCAGCAATACCCAGATCCAGAGTAATTGTATGTGGAGATAAACACACGTCCGAGTGGGAATAGAAACCATGACCCTCAGCGCCGTAGCTTAGCTGTCGTCAAGCATCCATTTACAGCTTCATTCCATATTGCACCGACCGCATAAAGCCAGAAGAAAGTAGAAGAAAAAAATATGCAGATTTAGCACGTAATAAATCAGCACTAGCAAATAACAATGACATTTTAAATTTAGCATGCTCGCGTAAAGTGAGTTAAAAGCGAATGCCCGCACACTAAGTAGTTACAACTGAATTTTTCAAAAGACAAATGTTATTGCTATGCTACTTGACTTAAGGAGTTATGGTGTAAATATTAACTGACGATACTCTTCACAGGGATACATAAAAAAATAATAGATTTAATTAGAACTTTACTATGATAAATATTTTATACGTATACATACCCTGTGTACGACCTACAAATATAATGATAGCGTAAAATTTAAATAACTTTTGCAATTTTGCAGTATTAGCGTTGCGTACAAAAACATAGCAATGCATTTTCAAAACTAAATACCCTCCTATGATCATCATGTCACGCGAACAACTGATATAGATATCTTTAGGACCTTAGAATCTTTAATCACTAAAAATTTCCAAGTTTCCTGACACCGTCTGGTCTCTCCATAGATATTTCCATAAATTCGCACTGATATTTAAAATAAGGAATCATGTATGTGATTTACTGATTTATTTAAATAAAATTATGTAAATAACATTAATCGATTTCGTAATCGTAAATTTCGATATATTAAAGACTGAATCAAACTTATATAGAATAAGAAAAAAATCATTTTGATCACCAAAATCATTGAAATCACGCCTAACAACAACGAGTTATACACCTCAGTTTGCACACCATTCTTTCATCAATAATTCACTAAAATGTTTTAAGTGAATTATTAATGAAAGAAAGAATGATGGAGACTATCGTATCAACTACCTGTTTTTTTCACTTGAACTCATAAAAAGAGCGAGAATATCTTTTAAATATAGTAATTATAAAGAAAAAAAAACAGGATCATAAACACATCGATCAAAATGACGCGAGGATAGGCCTTCACGATAACATATATTCGCCGTGTCAAATGATGTGTGGGCACGCAAGCGAAATAGATTTCGAGTTGAATTTTAATAAAAGCAAAAACTAGCCAAGACATGGTAAACACAGAATAGTATCGTGGTTGTATAAATATTCTGTTAACGCCTTTAGTCAAGCAGTTATCTTATTTGCGGTTGCAAGTTAATGTTTCATATAAACAATATCATCACGAAAGATCAAAATCTGATTAACCTTATCAATAATCAGTTTAAAAAAATATCTCCATCTGATAACATGTTAGTCGAAGATAAACATAGAATTTAGGTTTCGATTAAACATTTTATTCAAAGTAAGTTTAATAGAATTTTATAGTCATTTTTGTTGAATAATATTTTTATGTCATATTTAAATATGCTTGTAGTAAGTACATAAAAAGCTAGCAAGTAAAAGCTTTTGATTTTATTTCCACTGAGTATATTTATGCGATAATCGGATAAATTATATTGAATGGATGATGATAAACCGAATTTATATTGAATTTTATATTGAATATTATATTGAATATGTAGAATTATATATTTTTACAGTATTTATGCTCGTAGTTTGGAGCTATTCACCCGATAAACGATTGTTTCATCATAATGTATTTTTACATACAAAAGCAAAAATGATATGTAAGATTCAACATGAATCTCAAAATCATTTCATACTAATATGTTTGTAACTATGGTAGCGCCACGCAACAGTGTTGATGTTCGCTGTTGCATGAATATGCAGGTTCGTCCGGGTTAGTACCACGACCTCACTGAAGACCGGCGTGAAGTAGAGGTGTTACACTTCTGCGTTTCACCTAATGAGTGAAGTAGCCGGGGCCCACTTTATTAAAAGGTGGCGACGTATTAACCCTACGGGTATTTTAAATGTCCATGGGCGGCGGTTATCCCTTAACATCAGGCGAACAGCCAGCTCGTTGGCTACTTTGTCACATAAAAAAATATGTACAAAGAACTTATTTTATCATTTTTATTCTTAGTTTGTAGTAATTTATAATATAAATAGCCTCTTTTTTTGACCAAAATTGGTCCTTGGGGTATACGCATTTGAATTACAAAACACAATACTAAAAACCACATTTATTCACTTTTTTATTTATCACTCAAAATGTTATTCAACAACAGAAAATGTCTTGGAATGTTTATAGTATATAGCGATGGTATCATATATTTAAGTCTTCCCAAGCATACAGAACGAGTTTTACTAAGTTATGCATTTATATATACATATTTGTGTATAAATTGTGCATGCACTGTAAATTTTACTTTATTTAAAATTCAAGTTATAGTTTCATCCCTACTTATCTATGTAGCGAAATTTAAGGTCTGAAAAATTTACTTTAACCTAATTATTTGAGCGGTACTCTATGGAACAATGATTTGAAATATCTTGTTATTTGTAACATCATTCCTATTTAATTAAATGAAAAGAAATAATCGTTCTCATTTAAAAGAATAGTTACAACATAATATTCTCAAAGCTATAATTATATAGGGTGTTCAATAAAGCATATATAATATATTAACCACTTAAGAGACAGAATTAATGTATAAAAGATCCCAAATTAGTAAGGGAAATATTTACACGTTATATTCACATATGGCAAGTTCATTATTATCTGCAATCGTCACAACATTGATCGATAAAATAGAAACGTTATCAGTATTGTTCGATGTCACAATAATACCTTGTTGTGGGGATGTTTCAGTAGAATAAGAGTCGACGGGCAAAGCGTTCGCGAATTCGTAAATATCATATTGAAAGTGGAAGAAACCATTCGTTCATCAGAAATCGTAATATATTCCGTTGTTGAATCTTTAAACAGTGAAGTGAAATTTAAACAAAACAATAAAATATCGCGTTTAAGAGCAAGTCTCGACCCTGTTATTCGGTTTATTGGATTGCTTTAATTAATAATCACTTAAAATATCGTTAAATCAGTTAGGGTACAAGCAATTTGTTTAATTTCGTTGAACCTGAAATTTTATAAGTTTCTACGTAATGGACTTACCAGTGGTTAATTAAGTGCATTGCAGTTACAAAATATTAAGTTCACAAAAAGAAACAGAAAAGTATTTGTGTCTTACCATGGGTAATTTTTAATGTAGATTAGCAAGCACATGACGTAGAACATTAGAAATCACTTGTTTAAAAGCTAATAAGCTAACACCTTTTTATATTTCATCTGACGCACTAGGAACACACAAAATTCAAAATCTTGAAACGAACCTTTAACTTTATAATACTGATCAATTATGTACACAAGTTACACTGTTCACTAGATACGATTAATAATGGAAGTATACAGCAAATAATAAGGTTTATGGATCGGTTAGGTCATTAAAAACGATTTGGTAGCTTTCATAGATATACGTCCAATGATTATTATCATTGTTATCTGTTTGATTGAGATATGATTACGAACAGTTGATTTCAGTTATCTATATTAGATCTAATCATTGAAAACTAATGTGGTTTGGAACATTTTGGGAGCAATAATGAAAGACAGTAAACTGAGATCCACGGCTAAGAACGACGGTGTTACGTCGGCCGAGCTTGGCTGTTGGGCCAAATTCAAAAGATTCTTCGACGATCGAGGCTTTGATCTGGAATGTGAATATAAAGACATACATCCTGTTCACGCCGTTGTGGAAACACATACCAATTCCAAAGGTTACCGAAAGTTCGAAGATATCAACAGAAATAAAGTAGAAACATATACCAAGAGACGTTATTCGAGACACGATATCAAAATAGATGAGAATTTACCGGGTGTTGTAAATTTTTACGATCAACTCGCAAATTTAAGCGATGACACGAAGGCGGAATACAACGAAGGATGGAAGAGATCATCTTTAACTAAGAACAGGGTATCTGTGCGGCCGAGCATGAATTTGACCAACATTGCAGAAGAAATTTTCGGCTTGGAAATGGAAATGGATGACGTAGAGGAGGTAAATAGTTGTTATTGGTTTATGTTACTGCAAAATATCTTTTCAAATAAAAACACATACAAAACACCTACTTGACTCGATCCAAAGTTTCTTGGAAATTATGAAACATGCTAAGCCTAGATAGATAACGAATGATGAAAATTATTACTTATCTACGTTCAAGTTTAATCACCAATGAACGAACAGAAAGAAATTAAAGTTGGACATAAATTTTCATTTTATGAACTTATTGCCTTTTTTTTTTAAATAGTAGTCGATATAAAAGAATTTACAAGTCTTGATTGTAGCTTTCGTCACTAGTTTATTCAAGAAGTTATCAGAAAATACTCAAAGATAACAGAG